TCACCAAATCAAAGATACTAAGAAAACAATACAAAGAAAAATAGCTGCAAAAAAGATTTAGTACTGGTTATGCTGTGGCTTTAAAACTGATTTGTTTTGTTCCCTGCTAAAACAAAGTTTGTGAATTTAGTTAAATAATTGTTCAAATATATCTGTCATTTGTGTGTTTTTAGCTTTCTTCCTGTATGGGAAGCTTTTCAAAATTTTAAACATTAGTGCAGTGGTTTATGTTAAAATAAACCTTTGGGTAAAGTTGTCTCAAGCAGGTTTTTCTTGTTGTTCTTAAATTTTTATTTCAAGTGGCATTAAAAAGTCTTAAATTTAACTTGCCTTATGCTGTAGGTGTATGATACAATCCTGCAGTTTTTTCGATTCCTGATGGGGAGTTGGTCATTAGAGGCTGATCGCCCCTCATTATCCCCAGTATACTACACAACGCACCATCAGACTGAAAGTTGGCCCGATCGGAAAATTCTCACACCACGGGAGACTGGTCGACTGGTCAAAAATTGTACAGTGTATGCCCAGCTTTAGTAACAACAGAATAGATTACATCAAATCCAGTGTGGGCAACAGCAGAAGGTGGAATATAAAGAGTTACCAAGACAACACTGGTAAACTCTTTGGGTAAACAATATGGCAAAAACCAACTGCCAGCAGTGATGAATCTTCACAGTAATATGTCCTGGATGACACCATCTGTTGTTCACAAGCACTGCCAATCCACCTCCTTTAAATTTCCCCATCTTCTTTAAATCTCTGTCTGCTCATTATGGTCAGAAATCTTTGCAGAGAAAGGCTGTAGTCTGAGATTTGATCCTGCAGCCACGTTTCAGTAAAACACATAATCCTGCATTAATGATATTCTGGATGGGTCCTTGCTAGGGCCAGGAGTTCTTCTAAATTGTTCCCTAAAATCTCACATTGCCCGTGATGATTGATGGAAGAGATTTCTTCCTCTCTCTTATTTTTGCTTCTGCTCCGCATCCCCGGCGCATCCTTTTCAAATCCGCTGGTACTTCTGGAAGTAGTTTATGTATTTTAGCTTTAGAGATGTTCATGAGCTGCTCCAAGGTGTAAAAATCAACTTGCTATGGTTGCCATGGTTACACATCCTAACAAGTATCCAAAAAGGAAAAATATCCACAAAAATCCTTCCAGTTTCATAGCATTCAACACCAAAAGAAAAAAAGAAAAGAAACTCGAATCTACAAACAGAGAAACAAAGGTTCTAATAAGCAAGAACATCAGAATCAAGCTAGCAGAGCTGCTTGAACGTGCAGCTACCTATAGAAGTGCAATTCTATAATTTAGATCACTGAACAGATTTCTGTACCTATTATATTGTCGGACCGAAAAACAAGAGAGGAAAGTTATCTAAGCTGTTCTTGGACACACTGTGAAAACAGTTCTGCCCAGTAGTATGTGTCGAAAACGAGCGAGAATCCGAGACTGAGAGAAGTGACGTCATCTTGTTCTCATAGCTCACAGAGAGAAAACTTCCAGCTTCTAGTATAGAATGTAATAATATCTAACAGCAGCTGGAAAGAGGGAAGGATTTGCAGCTCTCCTATGTGCACCAAGGGGGCAGCAGTCTGTCACTGCATGGGCTCTGCAGTTCTGCTATGACTTCATGTATGCGGGCAACATTAAACTGACTAAGCTTGTTTTTAATCATTTAGGGGAAAAAATTGTTTGTTTTTCCATTTTATTTTTGTAGAATTTTTCCTTTCCTTTCTTGACAGTTAGTTTACCTACTTTAAAATCGTTCTGATGGTTCATTTGGATTGTCACTCAGCCCCAGATGTGCTCGATCTAATATAAAAAAAATTACAGAATTCTACCTTATTAATCTAAAATCTAGTCCAAATCTAAAGGGTTGCTTGTTCAAGTCCCAGCTCGTTGAAAGAAAAGTCATAATCTGTTGGCAAAGTAAAATAATAATTTCAGTTAATTTATATAGAGTAAACTCACAACACACCATCTCAAGGGATTTTACAGAAACAACACAGTCAAATTGGTTGAATGCATCCAGTCAATGATTTGAAATACATGCTCCAACTGGATAAGCTTGCTTGTCATTGACTCTTCAGCAATCCCTCACACTAAGAATGCTTGTAGTGACAGTGGAGAGGAAAACTCCCTTTTAACAGGAAGAAACCTCCAGCAGAACCAGGCTCAGTGTGAGCGGCCATCTGCTGAGGCCGACTGGGGTTCAAGGAGACAGAAGCAAACATAGAAAAAGAAGCATAGATACAAAAGGCAACTGCCAACCAGCTCCACAGGCGGCCCCGTCCAGGAAACACACAGGCAGGCAGACGAGCTTCGAGCCAGCTCCCATGTCAGAGGATGAAGAGAGCACATCCCGTTAGTCACAGTCAGAAAAACAGGACAAAAAAAAAACAGGCCAAGCTCCAACATCTAGACAGAAAACAAAGATTAGATTTTAAACAAGAAACATTCCATACCTTCAGCCATGCAAAGAAGTGGTGGTGTGATGCTTTACTGGAATAGCTTACTGGTTGATGGTAAAATATCAGCCCTCTTCCAGTGTGAGACCTGAAGCTCAGGCTCATCTGGCAATAGGAGAATCATCCTAAGCATCTGAAAGGATTAAACAACATAAATATATCTGGTCTATTCAAAGTCCAGATTGAGAATCAGGTTGATGACTTTAAATCAGCTGTTTAAGCTCAGAATCCCTCCAATGTGTCTAAATGAACTAATTCATTAAATTCCTCCTGAGTGATTTTAAAGACTCATCTGTTTTTACAAAATGTTAAAGGAAGGAAAACAGTTTATCTCAGCACTGTAAATAATATCCTATTTAAAAAAGGGCAACACAGCAGCTCAAATGTTGTGGGACAAGTCCAAGGTTTTCCTTAATCTCTGTCCAAATGCATCCAGAGATGTTGGACTGGTGTCCCGTAATCAGAGAGGAGTCTGGGCAACCTGTAGAATAATAACAGGAGTAAACAGAGCGTGGTAAACAGTAATTAGATAAGACCTTATGAGGCAGATTTGAACCACCAGAGAGGGGTGATTTAGGCTTTAAGATCAGTGCGAGGATTTCCTGGAGGGGTCTGAGTCCAGTTCTGAGTAAAACAGCTGCAGCAAAGTGAAATGGAATAAAGATGAGGGGCAAGTCCATCTATTCTGATGAAAATGTGAGCCTCCATAAATTACTGGGATTGATTCTGAATTCCTGCAGAGACACCTGAAGAGGCAGCCGAAAGCAGCAGCAGAGGAGGGAGACATGTTGTTTTCACTTTCAGCTGACTTAAACAAAATAAAGGCTCACAACTTCTTTATGATTTTCATCTATACAAGATTTGTTCCATTAGTGCCCTCATTAAAAATGGTTGCCCTTATTAAACATGGCTGCCCTCACTAAACATTGGCTGCCTTTATTAAACTTGGCTAACCTCATTTAATACGTCTGCCCTCATTAAACATTTCTAACCAAACTTAACGTTGCTACCCTAATTTAACGTGGCTACCCTCATTTAACCGGGCTGCCCTCATTTAACCAGGCTACCCTCATTTAACGTAGCTACCCTCATTTAACGTGGCTACCCTCATTTAACCAGGCTACCCTCATTTAACGTAGCTACCCTCATTTAACCAGGCTACCCTCATTTAACGTAGCTACCCTCATTTAACGTGGCTAGTACCTCATTTAACGTG